CTTCTGATGACCCAGTGATTGCAGGTGGAGAAGGAGGCCCTCTCCAAATGGAATTATCTGCTGGCTTTAATCCCCCACCCTTGCTAGGCGGCACCTCCACGTTGTCTCAAGGAGTGCTCTGGCCCTTTGTGGCAAGACCCGATGGTTGGGCTGGCTCCTGACCTCTGTCTCCAACTCCCCTCCGGCGGCACAGCCACCCGCTTGGGAGCGCACCTTAACTCCGGAATAACGCATCCCGAAAGGAGATTCCTGACTACACAAGAATAAAGTTGCAAACACTCTCAAACTACAATTAGCACCCTCCACCAGACCCCAGTTTTTCTAACTCTATATTTTTCCTAAACCAAATTTAACATTGCGGAATAATCTCAATTTTCCGAAATTTCCTGGGGTGCGGTAGGCAACGTGACAGGAGCGAGCACACTCTGGCCAGAGCATTTAGTATGCTCTTAAACAAGAAAGACTGTTTTTTTGGCCCGCTGGAACCAGCTGCTGTGGAGAAAAGAGAGCAGTCACTTAATATAGAAGAATAAAGCAAGGGTGTCCGCAAAGGTCATTTAGTCCAATGCCCTTCCTCAAGAAAAAAGCCTCTCCTGTGGACAGGATTTGATTTTGTACAGGGAAATACCTTGGGATTTCCAACCCACTCCGGTAATCACTCAGCCCTGGCGCTTAGGAACAAAGGCATTTACAAGCAGAGTGAACAAGCCGTGTGTGCTAGGAAGGTGTGTGTTAGGATGGGGCACTGATCACCAGCGTGACTGGATCCAAGCTTTGCAGACTTTCACGCTTGAAGGTCATGTGCTAACTATCTCTTCCCTGCAGTGCTGCATGGGAGATGGGAGGTAGGGCAGCAATGATGGTCTCTGAGAGGTCAATGAATGCAGATTCAGGAGGCCTTGAGTCGCTCCCTGGCCTTGCTACAGACTCTCTGCGTGACCTTGAGCGCATCACCTAACTTAGGCAGTGTCAGTTCCCCATGCATACCTGTGTTGACCCCCATGTCATCTGGTACGGCAGGTCCAGCATCTTCAGATGGCGTCTTGAACTGTTCCATGGAAAGAGGGGAAAAAAGAAGTCAGGCCAGGTCTTGTTTGATCCGCGCTCCTCAGGATTTCTCTTGCTTACTCCTGCTGTGCTCGCTAGCCCCCACTGAAAATGCTTGGTAGCTCTACCGCTGCCTTTCTTGCCCACCCTCTGTTCCCTACCAGAAGAGCTCAGCTGACTTTGTCGCCCACCCTCCGTTCCCTACCAGAAGAGCTCTGCTAGCTCCTCTCTGCACCTTTCTGTGCGTCTCCAAGGTGGCGGGGCTTGCAACGCCAGGGTCGGGAAATATTGCTCAACCCCCACAATTTATTCTTGGACTTGGCACCTGAGCAATGAAGTGTGGCACTTGGAATTGCTGTGAGCAGCACTAAGGAAGCAGATCCCAGCTACCCATTGTATTGTAGGGCTTAGAGCTGCAGATTGCATGGAACGAAAGATGCTCCACACTAATCCTGCACAACCAGCCAGCCTGAGCAGAGGGGAGGCAGCACAGATATCCTTCATTTCAGGTCATGCTCTAGCCTCTCTTTTACAGAGACCCAGCCTTTATTTCACGACCTCAGGTGAGAGACAATTCATCGTACCCCTGCCTTGGTAAGTTGTTCCTGCGGTTAATAACCTGGTGTGTAACAAGAAAATAGGGGGCACTGTATTCCTCGAATGAGTCTGTCCAGATGCACCTTCCAGTCACTGCGTTCTCTGGAAGATTTAAGAGCCTTTCCCAATTAGAAACTTTCTGTACATAGAGGTGCTTCTGGCCCACGCTCAAATTGCTGTTAGGATCGAGATTAGGAAAAGGCGTTCAGCCCTACTCCTATTGAAACCAGTGGAAAAAGACTCCTTGACTTCAGGGATAGCAAGTTTAGAGCAACCAGGCTAGAGAACAGACTCCACCTCATGGCTAGAGGCAACCTCTGCGTAGAGATGACAGAAAAAATACCAGAAGCAAATGAAAGAGTAAGGAGCTGCGAAAGGCAAGGGGTCAGCTGGGGGAGTCAAGAGACCTTTTGCAGGCCAACGTCCCAGGGTTGTTACACGAGGCTTGACAGGATCCTTACCACAGCTGTGTCTAATCAGTCTTCTCTGTCCCAGGCCGGCCACATGTCTAATAGAGTTCACCATAAGACGTCGAGTGGGTAAGGTAACTTGTCGGGGGAAAGGGCTTCTCTGTCCCAGGCCGGCCACGTGTCTGCAGACATCCCTGTAAACCAAGACACATGCACACTCAGCTCACCTGGGACTCATTTCCACTTCTATGAGTGATGTTTCTAGTGTTGTTTTAGCATCACTGCAAAGCAGTGTCCTGTGAGGTTTTGTGCCCACGAGCCTGTCTCATCTGCTTGTGCCCCAGCAGGGAGGGGTGCGGTGAGGTGGACCGTGCCTGCTTCTGCACACGCTGCCTTCCCTGCCTGATGCCATGTCCCCACCCGGTGATGCGGTGCTGCTTGGATCCAGGCAGCTCTCGCTCCTGGCTGAGCCTCCTGATGCACACACGCCACCTGATTCCCATTGCAGGGGAGGGACAGCTTGTGCAGAGCTCGTGCTGCGACCCTCGCTGCGGCAATCCCTGGTGCAGTACTGAAGCACACAGGCATGGCCACTGCTTAGGAGGAACCAGTGCATGCTCTCTTGTTTTTCTGAAGCAGGTTTGTCTCTGTTTTCACGTGTTTTGGTTCTACCTCTGGGCCATGCTTGAGTACTGCCTAGTGCCTGGAAGCAAGGGCCCCGCTGTGCTGTCCTAACAGCGATGCACACGTGGGGGATGCTGTATGAACGAGCTGGTTCTTCCACACCCACAGATCAGGTACAACTTCAGATTCGTTGTGCAGGCTGTTAGTGGGGACGTTTGTGCAGGGAACTGCCAGACAGAAGGAAAACCGTGGGGAAGGCCTGTGACGAGCTTCCCTTTCAAACACGACTCCCTTTGCCAGAAAAAGTCTGTGCTGGACAAATCCCCGACACGGGTAGCATAACTATCCTCTAGACTACTGTATTTGGAGACGGTCTTTCACCAGACAAATGATCACTGAGATGAAAGGAATGAAGTGATAGACAATTGTAGACATTAAGGGAAATAAATGAAACCCTAAAAAAAATTGCAAATTGCATACATTCAAGTGATGTCTGTGCTTCCCATGATGCTGATAGTCCTCCAACAGCCACACTAAAAACAAAAGGAAAGAGTCATTTGGATTTAGAGAGGACCAGGAGTAAAGGGCCGTAACATTAGCATTTCAATAGTATTTTTCATCTTTGTTTCTTGTTCTCCACACTGACAACGTGCTCAGCACAAAGACGTGCTTTTGAAACAGGAGGCGAGGGCACTGTCCTGCTGACATACTAAATGTACTACATGGCTGGGGACGTACAGGCTGGAAAGCTGCCTGGGACTCTGCCACTGCTCTGTTGGACAGCCTTGGGTGATGCACTTCATCTCATAGGTCTCGTAGGCCCAGTCCTATGTATGGTTCACCTGTGAAACTGCACTGCTTCCCCCTTATGCGGTTTGGGACTGTAATTCTCAGCAGTGGAATAGGACCGCACTTTGAACTTAGTTTCACATTTGGTGGCTGAAATGACTAGATAACACCTGAGGTTATTCTTTGCATTGGGAACCAGGATAAAACCTTGGACCATCTCATATCCCCACTTACCTTCCTGTTTTGGCTGCCAAAGGAGCAAGCTTGGAGAGGAGAGATGGGGAGAGCTCTAAGCAAGGCCTGGATTATGACCTAGTGGTTAGAGCATGGTGCTGAGAAAAGCTGAAGCAGGTTCAAGCTGTTTCTGGGTCGGCAAGACTTCAGACCCATGTCTGCTGCTTCCCGGGCAAGGGGGCGCACCAGTTAATGCCCTTCTGGTAAGCAGGGGCAGACCGTCCTCGGGCTTGCTCCGTTCTAGCCATATCGCAATCAGAAGCGGAGAAACCCCAGTTATGGCCTGCCTGTCGGCCCAGTGCTGCCCCAGGGACAGCGCTGCTAGGGATGCCCATGTGTGCTGGGACAGATGCACCCAGGAAGGTCTCCCCTCCCGCAGCGGGAAACATTCACTGCTTCAAACTAAACAGTTGGAAGCAGCCGGTGAAAATATTGGAGGGGCCAAGACCAGGCCCCCAGGCTCACAGAGGATTTTCTCCCAGTGGAGTCTGGATGTACAGCTGATGTAGCTGGGAGAGATGCCCTTGCTCTAATGCCCCTCTGCTGAACACGTCCTCCCACCAGCTGTGGCTGTGGAGCATGATCTGGGCATGGGGAGGAAGCGCACAGATGGTGGCAGAGTAAATGAGCCGTGTAGGAAGCGCAGAGTGCCTGACACCGTCTGGTCCCACTGTGTTGCAGCAGTGAACAGCTCTGGTTACAAGCAAGCAGAGAGCGGGGCACAGCCCTGTGCACCTTCATACCAAACCCAGTCTAAAATGCAGGGACCGCTCTGTCCAGAGACCCCAGATGATCCCCCTCCACCACAGCTCCCACTCTCGCTGCACTGCCAGAAAAAGATACCTTGATGGTTCAGTGTCTGTGAATGAACACAACGGGCTCCACAAATATGGAGAGGATTTGACTGGAGTGGTCTCCTCGATCTGATGCAGCGTTTCTTCCTCCTCCCACTGTTGCTCTGATTCAAGGTCATCTTCCACCCTCTCCTCTCCCTCCTCATCTTCAGTGTAGCAAGCTGCCAGTTGTGCGAGGAGGTCCACCTTGGGCTGAAGAGCTCTCAGTGTGGCTAACTCCTCTGTCCCTGTTGGGGTCTTGTCTGCACTTGTACCCGGGACTGCCTCTTCATCGCGCCATGACTTAGACTCTGAACTAATAGAGTCATGGGAAAGAGCCTTGTCGGCAAGCCTGTCTGGGTGTGTCGTGCTTTGGCTCAGTCGGTCGCTCACCACCCGTAAAAGGGGGCGATCGGAGAGTTCCTCAATTATGACGGTAACCACGTCTTGTGGAAGATGTGCATCAAAACCGGTTACGTCATTGTACAGATCTTGCTCATTGTTGTGGCATAATCAGGTAGTACTTTTGACCTCCAGGAATAAGTGCTCCTTCCTGCTCTGGACATCGCGGTGTATCTCCAACAATATTGTCTGCTTCGGCACGGTGGCGAAGTGGTGATTCCCCAGAAAGAGAGCTCTGCAGTGGACTCCCAGAAACCTCTTGGAAGACCAAGTCACAAAGAGCTTCAGAAAGAACCAGGCACCCATTTCTTAAGCAGTTCTGCATGCTGACTTGAGACTGAAACGGTGCCAAAAGCTTGTCGTACACCGAATCAGCAGTGGTTTGAATCACAGCATCCTCTCTGGCATGCAGATGGTCAGTGTGCTGGCTACAAGAGTCATCATCTTCAGAGATTTTTGCCATCACTTGTCTGATTACCTTCAGAGGAAGCAAGTCAAATCCTGCAAGCTCTGTTTTCTTTTCTTTCGGGGAAGATGTGCTGGTGGCGGCAGGGAGAAGATCAGAGAAAAGCCTGCTGATTATATCTTCCAAATATCTGAGCCAGACCTCTGGAGTAGATGGTGTGGGACTTTGGCATTGGGAGGTGCTTTTGGTAGCATCCTCAAAAAGCTTCTCAACCATTTTCCCAGGCTCTAGAGGTTTGTACTGAGCTGGAGGGGGTGCTTTTGCTAAGCGTTGGTGATCAGTAATTTCTCTCCTTCGCAAAACACTTAACCCCTCTGCTGACACACTCCTGTTGCTTTCCCTGTATTCACAAGCTGTGACTTTAGGAGCACTTTCATACCAAAGGTCAGACAAACTGGAGTGAAGAATTTGGGCTGTCAAGGTATCTGTCAGGGAAGAGATCCAGATCCTCCGAAGGCTGCCGGGCTGTGGCCTGACATCTGGACAGCTTACTTAACACCAAATTGACCAGCTCTGTACTGAAACGTGAAGGATCGCTTCCACGGATCGCGCTGTCCTGAGCAAGGAAGTTTTGGGAAGGGACACGTTTGTTCATGAGGTCATCATATGTTTTGTGGAAAAAGGCGTCGGCATAGATACCGGCAGGTGAGTGCCAGGGCTGAGGCTTAATG